TCTTTAGCGGTGTATTTAATATTCTGTTAAATAAGGCAACGAAGATATCGGCTTGTAATGTAGGAAAAACAAAGGTATAAGTTTGTTGCTGTCGTCGCACGAGTAATAAGGCTTCCAAGCTACTGCATATAATTTATTAGCCTCTTATCTGGATCAGAGAGAACAACAAGTGTATTGGAAAGGAATACACTCAGAATGGAAATCTGTGGGTTCTGTGCTTGGGCTTATACTTTTTCTGATATATATACAGTATGTCCCCGGATCGAGTTACAAAGAGGAAAAAAAAATTTATTACTGATTTTTCATACTTATCTCAGTATAAATAATGCGTCGGATATGTTCAAACCACTAAATCGCACGAACTTTATATTCTAACTATAGAAGTTAACTAATTATTGGATATGTAACCATAGAAACCATAAAACTTCTTTATAAGAAGTACGACTTTCCGCCAGTGGTAGAGATTCTATCGCATTAATTATTCTTAGTTTTAATAGTTCTACATCATCTTATAATGGTTCACTGTAAACAATTTGTTTCAATCGTCCCCAAAAATAAAAATCCATAATTGTAAGATCAGGACTACGTGCTGGCCATCAAATAAGACCATTTCGTTCAATCCATTTTTGCCGAAATTGTAAATTTAACCATTTGGCACAATGTGTGAATGGTAAGCTGGGCAACTGTCTTACTGAAAGTACATTGACGGTATAAAATTTAAGGCTAATTGGATTTACATCGCTCCAATAATGACAATGCTGGGAAGAAACAATGTCATTTGTTGAAAAGCTATCTGAAAGGGAGCGTCTTCTTCATTTAGTCTCTTTATCTGCCTCTTTATGGATAATACAGAACCCGGTTCCAATTTTTTTGTCATCAGTTTGCGAGCTCCACATGAGATATTCTTGTGTCCGGATATTTTTGCTAGAATTTTTGTATAACTACACGAAAACATGATTCACTAGTACCATAGTACTGTACTAAATAAATTCTCTGTTTCATCGCATTTAACATCGCATGAAAAGATTAATCTCACCAACATAAGTTGTAAGTTTTATGGTTTCTATGGTTACATATCATAAATTGAACTTCAATTTCAATTTAGAAAAAAGTCCAATTTTTACATAAAAATTGGAATAATAAGTTAACTTTTATAGTTAGAGTATAAAATTCATGCGATTTAGTAGTTTGAACATATCCGACGCATAGTCGGACGACTCAGCATTATTTATGCTGAGATAAGTTTGAAAAATCAGTAACAAAAATTTTTTTCCTCTTTGTAACTCGATCCGGGGACATACTGTATAAACGATCTGCCAGAAAATGTGAAGGCACTTTCCATTTGTCACTATGCAGATGAAACGTCTGTAATCAACTAAGGAAATGATATTCAGCAACTTAAAAATAAAACGCAAACATCATTAGCCGATACAAAAAAATTGTTTGACATGAACAAAATCTGTTTTAGCGTTAAGCAGCGTTAAGATAACGTCTGCACTAATAATGGACTGCCATCTAGCACTGGAAGAAGCCACGAAACACAATCGTGTCACTATCCAATGGATCAAGGGGCACTCCGGCTCTACGGGTACAAACATGCGGATAGACTGGCAAAGCGTGCTGCCAGCACAGTTCCCTGTGCACCCGAGCCGATAATTACCCCTTCCTTAGCTACTCATATCAACATGATTAAGCACATTACCCACAAAAAAATCCTAAACGCGTGGGACAAAACCCCGGGCTGCTATCTTGCTACGGATTTGTTAAAATATCCTTTGAAATCTACAGCTCAGTTTTTCGTAGGGCTTGGAAAAAACGCCCTTCGATTAGCCACAGGTCTCCTCACGGGACACTGTAAGGTAAACAAGCACCTTCACAATATGAAGCTTGCAAATTCTCCTCTCTGTCGAGCCTGTGAACAGGACGACGAGACCGCTAGACACATCTTGTGTGATTGCCCCTCTCTAGCAGACCTCAGAATGAGGACCCTCGGAGAGGCATGGCCGACCACAGATGATATCAGGAACTTACCTCTGAGTAATATCCTGGCCTTCGGTAATTCCCTAGGCTGGTTGATGTGAAAAGAGGTTATGTTGGGAGTATGCACAAGGGGTCCAATGGGGCCTAAGTGCGGTGTGCGGGAACGCATACACTCCCGTTTCCTTACATACATACATACATGAACAAAATGAAATTAAATGCAGATAAAACCAAAGTACAAACTTTTTCTACAAAAAGAGACAAAGACACTGAAATTCAAAAGATAAATTTTCTAGGCATTATGCTGTCCGAAACATTTTTTAAAACCTTAAAAATACTAACTATCCCAGGTTGTTTCATACTTACCTGCCTAGTTAATGTTCATACAAAGAAAGACACATTGCCAAAGAACGAAGATCTACATATCTACAACACGCGCCATGGAAGTAATCTGTTAATACCATATCACAGAATCAAAAAATCCCAGAATACTTTTAACTATATATCGGTCAAATTGTACAATGCATTGCCATCAAAAATAAAAGAGTTGAATAACAAAAGGTTTAAACAGACAGTTAAACGAATATTATTGGAAAAAGAGTATTATTCAATTGAGGAATACCTTGCAGACAAGAACTTTCCTAATATACAGGGTGTTTTAAAACAACGTTTAAATATTTATAGGGGTAGTACTACAGTCGAAAACAAGTCGAAAAGTGTTAATCAACATGGGTCCGAAAATCAACCGTTTTCGGTTCAAGAATTCAGAATGTTCAAATTTTTTGGGACTCTACGTTTTTTCTTTTAAACTATAACTACTACAGATTTGATACTTGGCAAATCGATACAGTATAAAACTGTCTCTTTTTGAGAATAGTATGATGTTTCCATTGCTTCCGGTTAGACCGGAAGTGAAAATAAATACCACTATTTTTCAGAAAATTAAAAAATTTTCTGTAACAATTAGTTAGATAGCTTAATTCTAAACAACATTAATTCGAAAAAAAACATTGTACTCCTTAAGGTTTCCGAAACAGAAAACATTTTTAAAAATAAATTATTAGAAATTTGAATTGACACAACGTAATACTAATCAAAACGAAGCTTTTTACTGAATCATCAAAATGTCGACCTGCAACATCAATACAGTTTCTCATTCTACGTTCAAAGGAAGCCCGAACTCTTTCAAGTAGACCGTAGTTTTCACGAATTGTCTGGCAACGCTGTTAGCCGGCGATTGGGAAATGTTTCGGCATAGAAACGATGTGCTCTCAAACTATTTCCATTGGCACGGCCGTACATAAACACCATATCGCTCATTTCAGCATTTGAATACAAGACCATTGCAAACGATTTCACTTCAGGTTTCGCAAAATCAAATTACTGGAGTTTGGTTATTTCGTAATTTGAACGAAACGTCAAATTAATGTATGTTAGCAGATTGTACGTAAGGCAAAGCCTACTCCTTGTAATGGCCAAATTTTGGTAACTAATGACATAACGTTTTGTAATGGAATAACTTATACTAACTGGAAGCAATGGAAACATCATACTACTCTCAAAAAGAGACAGTTTCATACTGTATCGATTTGCCAAGTATCAAATCTGTAGCCGTTACAGTTGAAAAGAAAAAACCTAGAATCCCAAAAAATTTTAACATCCTGTATCGCGAAAACGGTTGATTTTCGGACCTATGTTGATTAACACTTTTCGACTTGTTTTCTACTGTAGCACTACCTCTATAAATATTTAAACGTTATTTTAAAACATCCTGTATAAATACTGGGTTGTGAATGGGTTGTAAGGAAGGATATGTAATATTTTGAGTCTTACGAACTGTATATTATTGATGAGAATAATGTATAATCATACTTATTCAATAAAACTATTATTATTAATAAATCTTCTTTTCAATTTTTTTAGTAGTAAATTTTAGTCATTTTCTAAATTTCTATATTTTCAATCATTTTTACTTGAAATAAAACTTTGTAAGAACAAAGTGAAATTGTTGATGCCCAATCTTCTTTGTCAAATTGAAAAAGTGGTTACGTTGTAGGAATCTTTTTTTGTAATAAAGTTTTTTACATCTGTATTATTGACATCAACGGGACCAGTTTTACCCCCACATGTTCATGAGGTTCACAAAAGAAGGAACATTTTGTGGTAGGGGTTCTGAGTTGGATTCGGAATTTAGTTGGTTGGTGGTTAGTCAGTTTTCGTAGACAAAAATCGGTTGTCGGGTCCGGCGTCACTGCAGAGGGTGCAGGATAATCGTGCTCGTCGGGATCGCATCGCAGTGCGCGGCACCCTGCAGTGCGATGGATCTCTTGGTGTGGTAGTCGGGCGGCCCGCAGTGCGGCGCATGCGAACGACGAAGGCGCCGCGCGGCGCCCACGGACCTCAGTGCTCCTCCACCGACCGATCACGCGACGCCAACCGACCCACCTTCATCTCTCTACACCTGTTGGTCGCGACGCTCAACGATATGAGTTAGTTTTGCGGAGACCCCGCCGGACACCCTCCAGTGTGCTCGGCACCGTCGCGCACAAAACCATTTCAACGCGACACTAATTTTCAAAATTTTAAACAAAAGTCCGATTGAACGGAAAAAAAGAAAATATACGAAAACGCAACGCTAAAACACCAAAAATAATAATAATAAAAATAACCCGCCAGTCAATTCTCCTTTTCCGCCGTAGTTTACAAAGTTCGGAGCCGGAAGAAGTGTTGAATTAAAAAAAGTTCTTTGCTCAAAAAAAAAAATTAAATAAAATAAATTAAAACGCGCGCGGTCTCCACATTAGCTTAGGCACGCAATTTAAAAGTAATAAAGAAAGAAAGAAGTAATATAATATTTCGAGTTTCTTCCATTTTATAACGAGAGAGCTAGGTTTAAAAAAACAACGCGCTAGTTAGAAGAAACTTATCAAGTATAACGATCCAATAATAATAATCGTAATAGCAGTAATAAACGTAATAAAAAAATATTAAAAATAAAAAAAATTTATTAAAAAGATAATAAAAATAATAAATCTTATTGTACAAAGCGAGCGTAATCATTAAAAAAGAGTTTCTGCGGCGATTTTTGCTAATCATCAGCTAACTTCCTTATAGTAAAAAAAATTAACCCTTAGAAAATAAGTACAATTCAGTTACGAATTAAATTGTTAATAATCAATATAATTTAAATAAAGTGCGCGATGTGCTTTCGTTTTCTTGCTGGAATAAAAGCACCTTAAACGGTGCTTGTGTTTTTTCTTCGTGGGCCCGGTTTCATGGTGATGCTCTTCCATCATGACTATGTGGCAGAGTGGGATGGGTGGCCATGGTGCCCAAAACAATGCCTGGATGAAGTTAATGGGTATTGTGCACAAGGAGAGACGCCATCACGACTCTGCGCAAGCCTCCACGGACCGAACACTAAGCCAGTAAGTATCACATTAAACTATAACACGTTTAATTTAATGTATTAAGTACTCTTAATTACAAAAGCATCTCTTGCTAACATCCCTAATTAAATAGGGTTTCGTGAATATGTTTTCCGGAGAAGTTTCAGGTTTCGTAATATTAACGTAAACGGTTTTAAAGTTCGTAAAGTATCAGGATACTAAAAGCTTAATATTAAAAATAATGAAACGGCTCCCTTGTCGTAATTGCATTGGATAATTAATTGTGAGTTCCAAATCGCTAACGACAAAGACGGTGTTGTATAAATTTTTTGATGGTAATTTTTGTAAACTAATGAATATAAATTAAAAATTTTTTTTTGTATTAAAGTTTGATTAAAAGAGTTTTACTTGAGTCGATGATAATACGGTAAAACCTGGATATAACGGTTTAATACGGGGAAGATATGAAAATTTTTTAATTTGCACTTTTAACTGTTTGATGAATAACTTTAATTCACAAAAATTCGAAGTGCTATCCACACCGTTGCATTCTTTATTAGTTAGTAAAATATATAAGAATCTAACGCTGAGTAACGATTAAAACTAGAACTGACACTAGACCTAGAATTAGAAAGTTTCGGGTTTAGCCGTCTAAGACGTTTAAATCCGAAAGTTTCTGGTTCTAGGTCTAGTGTTAGTTGAATAATAACTAAAACTTGAGCTACCACTAGCAGTAAAACTAATACGAGACTTAGAACTAGAAACATTCGGGTTTAGCCGTCTTAAAAGACAATTAAAACTACAACTACCGTCGTTGATTTATACGTCGTATAAACAACTCGGGGAATACCCAGAGTTTATTTATGAACATGGAATAGAGCAACTTGGGGAATAAACCGAGTTGGATTCTATCTATGAGCATGAAGCACTGAAACATTTTGTGTCTGTCTCCTCTAAAAATATGCCCTAGATATGATATCTTTCTTATCTTAACAGTTTTAATAATTCATGAACGGCATTTGGTCTATTTAACACTATTTCGTTGGTTTGCATAGCTTTCCAGGGCATTCGGAGCATTCTTTATGCAACCACATCTCGAATGCTTCCATGCGATTGATTGTGGCAGCCTTTAGAATCCAAATCACTGCTTCATATAATAGCACCGACCAGATATAACTTTTAATCATTCTTTGACGCAATTTTAGATATAAGTTGTCGCTACAGAAGAATTATTTCATTGTTGTACGAGCTGTTTCAATGTAATAAATAGATAATATTAATAGTATGACTTAAAAATAGATCCGTTATATCGAGGTTTTACACTACAATAAATTAAAAGTTAGCAATATCTCTATATCACCAAATATTTAATGTAACCGAAATTGAAACTGAATATTTCGATGAAGATTTAAAAATTAAATCATGAGATGACGCCGATTTTCAATATTCCCGCAAATATTTTCAGTTATGATACTCAAAGATTGGTATTGATGGTAGCGCAGTTACTCAAACATCTGTACTACGATCGATGAAGTGACTGAAATATTTTCTTATAATCCGGTTCGCACAACGACTATCTCTTCAAGTTTATGGAAACGTTCACTTTGGATCCATGGATTTCAATTCCGTTAAATGTAGAAGCTACTTATAAGTTTAATCTTATAATCCACTCTATTATGGATCCAGAAGATATAACGTAAATCGAAATATGAATTTATATAAAACAATGTCGTCAATTCATTTATTGAAACGTTTTTATTGAAAAAACAAAAAATAGCTAACAGGCAAAAAGTAAAAAAATAAGGAAAAAAATGAGCATTATTTATGATTAAACCGCTTTGAAAAACTGAACATTGTCATTTATAGCTGATATAATTACATTTTAAATTTAATGTTCCTTTAACGTTAGTTTTCTAGGAAACCTATATCTATAGAAAAATTATGTTTAGAACAAGATTAAATTAATAAGTTTTATATAAAATCGGCGCTTATAAATAAAAAAGCTGGAAATAGAAATATCTTCTTGATTATAAAATCTTTGGACTTGGTTCAGCACACTCTTTGTTTAGGTACATTCGTCGTCCTTTGATAATAAGATAATAGTCTCTTGATAATAGAGATAATAATTCAGTGAACTTTTCCCCTTTCCTCTTTTTCTTTACTAATTTCTCTTACTGTGATGGAACAATAGCGTCCACTTTCGTGACATCGAAAAATATTAACGTTTGCACAAATCATCTAGGGTTTCTAGTAGAATTTTGAATAGGGTGTTTTAATTTCTCAGAAGAAATTGCCCATAAAACAGTTTCAAATTCTGATATGAAGAAGCAATAACTGTTATCTTTAAGTTAATATGAGTATATGCCGAAAAACCTATGTACTACAAATTTTGTGTAAGCTGTAAGAAGAAACTTAAATAGAATTATTGTTTATTCACATTAGATAAGCTATATTCTTGAAACTTCATTATATTTTACTCATACAATAGTCGCTAAATAATAAAGACTTTTAGTTTTGCTAGATGGTAATCATCAAATATAATATGTGATAATGCCTAGTTTCCTTTTTCATTTATAATTTCAAATAATGAACATGATGTTTTAAAATTTTCGTTGTTAAAATAATTCGAATATTATTTTTGTTTTGTTAATATTGGGTTTTCCAATTGAAACATAACAATTTTATGTTTTAATAAGAACGCACACTTCAATGTTACCGTTTTAGTGAAAGTTAACATTTTAATCATGATGAAGTTTACGAACGAGCAACGTTTGGAAATGATTAAAAATTACTACCGCAATTCTGAATCGGTGGTCGCAACTTTAAGAGCGCTTACTCCAATTTTCTGACGCAATAATCGTCCCACCAGACAGGTTGTACGTGCTAGAGTGGATAAATTCTAGTCGAGATATTCGCTATTGGATGTTACAGTGCCCGTGAGACAACTCATGGAGTACCCAAAAATATTGCAGCTTATACAAGCTGCTATATTATTTTTAGCTGTCATCTTTTCAAAAAAAATAATATCTCACAAATGACTCAACTTTGGTATAGGGTATGTAACATAAAATTGGCCTGAAATTAAACAAAGATTTCAAAAATGTAATAAAACTATTTCCGGTGTAACCAAAAAGAGATATTTGAAAATATTTTAATTAAAAAGCTCGTATAAAACATCATAAGTCCGCAAAGTCAAAATAGTTTCAGATCAAAATAAGCTATGTCAGTCGATTCCATGCCGTTCAAGGGAATTGCGGATATCTTAATGTCTTAATAATCATTCTTCCATTTCAATAAGGTCTCTTGATCGTTCTAAACGCCAAAACTTCTCAGATTAGGCTCTGCTAAAATCAATCTTCAGTGACGGAGATGTGTGCATTTTATGTGGGAGGTGTGAGTTCGTTATCGTACCATATTGACAGCAGTGATGTGTGGTTTCAACAAGATGGTGCCATATGCCACACAGCTGGTCAAACAATTGATCTATTAAAGAAGACGTTCATTAGCTGTATCATCTCGAAAAATGGTCTGGTCAAATAGTCACCTCATGCGATTTAATTTTTAATAACGATCGTTAGATTTTTAACCCCATGAAAATACATACTATAAGTTCTATTTATTTAATCGATTATGCGAGTTATTGAAGCACTCTGAATTGCTTATTCATCGTACATAGTAATAGTAATTTCGGTAACGGAAAAGTTTATAACGTATTGGTCAAAAAACAATGCAACAAAAGCAAAAATATTTATGCCCAAATCAAATTGTAAACCAGCTTTTCCCCTGAAATAAAAACATTTATGTCTAATTTCATAATTGTTCCATTCAACATCAGTCCTCTGAAGGCAAGGCGTTCACGTTCTAATAAGTATTTCGTTATTTTAAATTTTTTTGTTGTTTCTTCAAACTCCATATCTTCCAGCATTTCTTGAAGACTGCTTACTTTTTCATCAAACAAATAAGTATAATTCTTGTACTGATCATTGGAGATATTTTCAGCAATATCTTTCAATTCATTCTTAGTAGAAACTTTCTTTTTAAAGAGATAGTCACAGTAATCAGTACAAGTAATTTATTTATCACGCATAACGTACCTCTTTAACACAATATCGTTTAACACACCTCGAAATATAATTTGACGTGTCTTATGTATGTGACTGTCATGGCTTGTAGAGAAATATGGTTTTATGCATGACCATGTCAGTCATATATGTGTTACAAAAAAAATTCTTTTTCTGGAAAATTTGGTGGAAAAATTTTTGTGCACGAAAGCATGAAATTTTTTTTTTCAGGAATAGTATCTAAATTGTTTAATAAAATTATGATTGCCCAAACAAAAACTGTGTTTATATTATCGTGGCGATTAATGTGTTAAAATATGTTTGTAACATGATTTCCCTTACCATCGAAGTAAAGAAAGTTTTAATCTCTTAAATCCACAGGCGTACATAAACAGAAGCAACTGACGACAGATTAGATAGCATTTTTCAGTGCTGAAACGTTCGCATAAGCATCAACAAAAGCATTATATGCTTTTCTTTGGAAAATATTTCTTGATTTCAATATCTTAATATTGAATTTTTGTTGCAACATGATTTAGAAATAAAAATTGAGATACCTTTTCCTATTTATTTTCAAAGGAATAATTCCCTTGTTTTCAAGAAATCTAATGTATAATTTTTCTATGAACTGGTTGAAATGTTAGTGTCGATGTAGAGTTTAGGATCGACTTTGGGTCGGATATTGAATGTATTATTTAGTAATTTATAATAATTCAATAAAGCAGCTAAATCACCTCAATTATTTGGATTTTTATTAGCTGTTTACTCAAATTTGATTTCTGATGATAAGTCTGTTTTAATAAACTAGGACACATTTTTCATTTTTCTCCTAGAACTTTTCTGATCACCTTCAATTAATAGTTGTATATATATTTCTCTTTGTTGTCATAATTCAGTCTTCGCTACAAGCTATTTATACTTTAAAGCTTTCGTGTATCCAACAAAGGTTTTAATTAATATTGCTAGCAGCGTTACATA